CTACTGCTGCTGCTACTACTTCTACTGCTACTACTACCACCACTACCACTACCACTACCACTACCACTACCACTACCACTACCACTACCACTGCTTTACTACTACTACTACTACTACTACTACTACTACGACTACTACTACGACTACTACTACTACTACTACTTCTACTTCTACTACTATTACTACTACTACTACTACTACTACTACGACTACTACTACTACTACTACTACTACTACTACTCCTTCTACTCCTACTCCTACTTCTACTTCTGCTTCTGCTTCTGCTACGAAGCTACAGTACAAGCACGGGGAAAACGAAGACCGCCACGACGACTTCGACGACGACAACAACTACTACTGCGGCTACTAAGCCACTCCCACTCCACTCCTACCACGACCACCACCACCACTGCCACTGACAGCGCGCCGAGGCCGAGGCGGCTTCGAAGATCGTGGCTTCGAGGGCGTTGGCACCTCAATGGCAGTGGGTCCGTAGGCAGATCTGTATGGACACCGCAAGCCAGTAAGCGCTGACCTGCGATTCTTGCCCACGAACAGCAATAGCGGATGCAGGCCAACACATGCAGATCCGAAAGAAAGGAGAGTTGAGCCTTGTCCTTCGAGGGTGAGCTTACTTCCTCGCAAGCCTGGCGCCGCACTCGCAGTCGGGTAGCACTTCATCACTTCACTGCTAGAGACTGCTCATACCTTCTGTGAAATATTCCTCGAGTCTCAACTTCGAGTCTCAACGAGCTCTTGTGCCTTGCGCCGGGACGGCAACGGGCTTGTCGCAACCTTGCCCTGAACAAGCTCCTGGCGTCGGAGATGCTTTCCAGGTGTATACCAGTGAGGCTGCGGTGCTGACTTGAACATATTGATAATTTGTGTTGGATTCGAAATGGAAAACTAAACTGAGCCTTGCAAGTCTACGACTCCATATGGACGCCGTGCATCTGCGATCTTCACCGGCTGTGTAGGTTTGCGAGGCAACGGTTACGAGTGGCCATGTGCTTTTGCGTGTCGCACATGAAACCCCACCCGAATCATGTCATAGCCAACATCTAGGAATCTAGGCTTCGGTCCAAAGACTCTATTCTTCAAAAGCAGCTTGAGACATATACAGACAGTTTCAGCACGAAGGTTTACGTCGTAGGAGTAAGGCTACAAGTATCGCCAGAAATTCGAGTTCTACCTGTAAAGGTGGTCTTCCGAAATAAAATCTTGCAGTATATCGAGGTATCCAGATATTGCCTATACCAATTGCGGCGATCGCCAAATCACAGGACTATCACAAGATATCTCTCTCTTGGTGAAATATGCTCAACAGACACTTCGAGACAAGGCTTGCGAAATGTGCCCTTGAGTGTTCTGTCCTCTGAACTTGCAACAGACAGATGTGCGAGGATGCCATGCATGCATGCATGCATGCCCGACATACGTACCTTCATACATAGAATCGTACATAACCCCATGAATATATATATATATATGTATATATGTATACGTACATACATACATACATACATACATACATACATACATACAGACAGACAGACACGCATACATGCATGTACCCTAACATGGCAGATCGCAACATACCATCGCGTAGCATAGCATAACATAACATAGTATACAACTCTATGTTTTCTTCTTACGCTATACCGTATTCCCGTACGTTATGTTATATTCGATTGTGCTATGTTATGTTATACTGTTTTTTACCTTTATATGACATTGTATTTTGATATGTTACGCATCACTGTGAAGCTGACCCCTGCGTCGCGATGGCGTGATGCGTCAGCTGCTGCCAGTAGAAGTTTCGGTTTTCGTGGTTATGGAATCTGACAGTTTGGATTAAAATGTCAGCGACCAACAACGGGCCAGAAACACGACAGAGGAGGAACACGGCCAGAATTAACGGGCTGCCTCTGTTTGCTCGCGTAACCAGGGGTGTGAGAGCGCTTCCTCCACAGAGATACCTCCGAGCCGATTCTCAGAGGCCAAAACTTGGCATGAAAAGATGATAAGCTGCGCACGTTCGGCTGGGTCTTTAGTCAACATTCTCTGCACCAGGTCCCACGCCAACGGGCCTCAACACGATGCAAACAGAAGCAAAGGCCCACGTCGTGGCACGTGTGAGCTCTTGCTGATTTCGGGCATCTGGCTGATATGGTTCGGCCGTAGTTTGTCAGAAGGTGGGCCTCGCATTGCCAGCTTGGGCGATGTTGAGAGCGCTGGACAAGATCCAAGGACCCTGCACACTGCATCGATCTCCTGGTCCCAGGTGCATCGCGACGTACTGTCCGGGAACTGAAGCCGAGCGCACGGCCCGCAGCAGCCACTGCTGGCGAAGCAAAGTTGACTTCACTGGATCTCGCTCTGAAAGCTTGGTCCTGACGCGGTCACGGATGAACTGACGTGTGAACTCCTGCACGCGTGTGCTGCTCCAATTTGAGCTCCGGGCACGCCAGGGTCCAGGTTGGTTTGGAGTAGAGTTCTCCTGACGCTGGCAATGCAAGAACACCGCTGACAGGCTCAGCCCCTCCAAAACAAACGCTCGCTCTATCTCACGGACTGAGAAGTCTGTCAGCGGCAGACGTGACCAGCACAGTGCATCGGACCAACACTGTAGGGACGTCAACGACCACTCCGAGCCCCTCACCCTGCGATCATCTGAAAAAGGGTCATTCCGGCACTCCACACATCAGCCTTCACCTGAAAAGCAGAGATTTTCGAGAGACTGCCCGCCTCCCCAGAAACAGCTCACAATTTATCGCAATGAACCACGCATGCGTGCCGAGGTATGCTGGGATCCGTGCCGTCTGCGGGACCTCAAAGCAGTTGCCAGCAAGCTGCCAGCAAGCATGGTTATTGCATGTTGTTGCTAGTACACATCCCGCGCCCACGTCATGATCCAGCCGGAACTGTATGCAAACTCTGCGCAGCATGATAAGGCACACACGTTCGACAGCACTTCGGGGGCCATGTAGAGCAGCGTGCCTGCCTGCAGCAGGTTTTGCAAAATATGCTAAATACATGTCATCTCGAACTTCTACATCACACTTGGCTACAGCAGCCAACCATTCAGCTCCTAGCCTAAGCCTGCAAACCAGCAGGACCACACGGAAAGACAGTCTGCGTGACCGAAGATGCCAAGATGCTCATGATGCTGGGCCCCTGCCCCCCTCCCACCCATGCAAAAAATCCCGACTGCCCCCCCCCCAACCCCCCCCCCCTCTCTCGGCGTTCCACTGGCGGTCAAGCTCCCTTTCCGTAATCAAACAAAGGCAGTAGGATAATCTCTGAGGACGGTGCAAGGCATGTTGGGCTATCCTCCTTTCGGCAGCACCAACCGAAATCTGCAATTCGCAACCTCGAGACAGACATGGGCTCGCAATGCCAAGCCGCTTGGGAGTCTCAGATGAGCGATCTTGCAGCTCAGCATGCCACAGACCATCCGCTGTGCATAGCAGGTTGTCTGGCTTAATGTCTCGGTGGATGAAGCCCAGCCTCGGAGGCAGGACGTACAGTGATGTAGTGCAAAGCGCGTGACATCGCATCGCATCATGTCGCAAGGGGTCTGGCTTGTGCACCACCTGCAAGCCGAGCATCAGTTGTCTAGCCTTGGAGGAGCACTCACACGCTGAACAAAAGTGCAGACGCCTCGAAGCTTCCCTGAGCTTCCAGGCGATGCTTTTCACGGTCTTTTCGGACAGAACGCCTTGCTTCCGCAGCAGATCTCCTGCAGCCATGCAGCACATTCTCAGTTCACTTCAAGGGGGGGAGCTGCGGAGCCTTGCTCGCAAAGCTCTAGCAAAAGGTACACCTCGGAAGCTCGAAGCCACTACAATGAAAGAAAGCCTCGACGAAAGGTGTCACAAGCGCCGGGCAAAGTCGCCCTCTTGCGTGTCCTCCAGCAGTCTCAAAACGTGGGTCTCCTGCAGCCGGTCGCGTGCGTTGCCTGCCGAGATTTGTGCACGTGGGCCGCTTCGCAGCTCCAGCTGGTCTCTGTAGACGGTGGCGGCACGCATGGCTTGGATCTCCCAGTCGATCTGGCACCTTGCGATGTCTGTCTCGCTCCTGACTTCCTCGCTTCAAAGTCCCGGGTGCAGGACTCAATGCCACGGTTCGCGAAGTTGGATCTGCTCATCACCTGAACACTGTGTAAGCAACCGCCGCCCCGCCAAGCGCAGTGATCCGGCTTAACAAGTGTGCCTTCACAGCATAGCCGGTATGGCTGGTACGATGACGGACATGGAACACCTGCCATCTTCCGTTCATTCCGTTCGCTCCCAAGCAATTTCACCTCTCTCAAAGCCAGACGCCCGGCCTCTGCAAAAGCTCCTCCACCGAGCTGATGACCACCCGGCCCTGCGAGTTTGGCGAGATGCGCTTGTTCTACTTCCCACGGGAATTTGGGGCCAAGGCAGAGCTCATAATCGACCTTGGCAATGCAGCGAGCTCGCACTCGACATCTGCAGCTTGCAGCAACTGGAAGGCTTGCACCCACCGAGGCAACTGCTTTCCAGGCGGTCGGCAAGGGCGGCGGGATGCCCGACTGAGTTGACACAGTTGACACTACTCGACACTACATGACTACACTTCAGGGCAGTGCTGCACGTTTCAACTGGGTATTGGTGCCACAATACCAGCCTGCGAAGGACGAAGCTCCTCCTCAGGGAGCACTTGGCATGCCTGCACATGAAATGGTCCAATAGTCAATGGCCATGCAATCATGGCAGAGGTCCGTCCAGTACCCGGAACACTGAACGCGCATCTTTCGCAGGACTTCGAAGCTCCAGCAGCGTGTTCCACCTGGCCCTGCTCTTTGGCAGGCTGGCAGACCTATACTCCAACACCTGCAAAAATATACACAGTAAACACGGTGTTGGGATCGCAACACATATTGACAATTTTGTTAGGTTTGTGGTGCTGCCTCCATCTGAGCGCCTCGAGAGTCACATATTCGGACTCGTCCGGACAGGCTGTCGAGGAGAAACACCTGCTGAAGCTCTGGCACGAAGAAGGCATGCGGCGTTAGCACCTGGACGGCGCATTGTCCTTGGTTCAGTGCCGAAGTTGGGATAAGGCATGATAATAAGCCACTGCCACTCCAAGGGCCCAGTACTGGCATCTATTGATGCGGGCTGTGCAGGGCATTTTCCTTTCAGTCACGCTTCATACACACACACACACATAAATAAAGTGTGTATATATATATATACACACATATATATATATACATATTCACAGGACGCTAGTTGCTAGTTACCGGCTTGGTGGCTGGCGGTTGCCCGCTGCCAAGGATCGAGTTTGACAGCGCCACATGATTTCGTCGACGGTCCAGGTGTCCGTGGGTCTAGCTGGCCTGACAAGCGTGTTTGGCTTCGGGCGTCTACGCTGGTAGTTTGTTCGTTCAGGAGCAGCACTCCCCCACGAGCCCCCAGACTTGTTAAGTTCGAGGTGCACGAGTGCAGTCTCCCCCCTGTGCTGGTCAGGTGCTGCGTGACAAATCTTCTGCCCATATAGTCCCCTTGCCACCACTTCGGGGGCTGTGGAAGGGTGCCTGTTTGCTTGAATTCAGAGAGACAAAGCTTGGTGATTACAACCAACTGACACCCGTCAATGGCATGCATGCGGAGGTTGCGGAATCCTAGCTCAGACGGCCTTGAAGTAGGCTGGAATGTGTGCTGCCAGCCGTCTGCCAGCAAGCGTGGAATCTGCTCGTTGAAGCCGTACAGGCAGAACCTTCGCTGCTAGCTGAAGCACAGCTTCGATGAGGCCGCATTAAGTTGATTAGCCAGAGACGGAGGCAATTCATGCAGCACCGTTCAACCATACCGACCATACCTGTCTCCATCGACATGCGGCCTGCCATCCTCGCGACGAAGCGCTGTTGTGAAGGACACGTTCTCCACGCAGAAAGGGACCTCACAGCTCGCCATGTGATGCTGGAGGGGCGGCTTGGAGAAGTACTGCGCTGTCCATGCACGAACCCTGGGCTGCCTGGTGCTCCAATGGAAGCGACCCTGGCGCGAGAGCCTGAATCGAAAAGAGTCTGCCTTGCTACCGCCCCCAACGCATCCCTTCAAAGCATGTGGTAACTGTCACAGACAAGAAGTCATCGTCCAGTTCAAGGCAACGCCTCAATCACATAGTCATGCGAGGCACCGTGTCCTACGACAAGCAGAGTCCTGCATTCGGTTGAGTGAAGCAGCCATTGACTTGGCTACATGTCACATCTTGTCTGTGCCGGTCGGTGACAAACCCGGGTCCTTGGAACCGGATCTGTGCGCATGGCCCGAGAAAGCGCCTGTGACCAGACATCGGGCACGCTGCCGCCACAAGTTTGGACTCCGAAGTTGCCAGGCCTCCCGGGCACGTGCAATGGGCCGCGCTCGCTGCACTGCGTCACCTGCGGAAGACCGGCCGGCGCATCGATGCAGCTTCTTTCCTGCTTTTTGCATCTGGGTTGCAGCGACTCAACCAGGACGAAAGAAGCTGAACCGGTGAACCAATGCATGGAAACCTATTCGTTGTGGTCACTCGCTGAAAGCTGGATGGGCACTGCCATGGTTGTCGAATCGTCCCAGCCTGCCCGCGCTGGGCCTACGAAGTCCGGATATCCAGGAATTGGAGACTCGTATCCAACGTCGATAAGATCTCCAGCAACATTGGGCAACTCTTCTCCAGTCTTCCTGGCAACAACAGACAGCTTCCTTTGCCCCGGCAGTCGACAGCTATCTTTGCTTGCTGCCACACTGTTTCAATCACCAAGGATCTGAAAGTTGCCGAAGTGAAGCTGCGGCAGCGGGTTGGCGTGATACCTCAAGCAAACGGCTGCACAGAACTCTGTTAAGCAATGACCGGCGAGCATGTAAGACTTTCCCAGCGTTCAACCGCGGATACATGCGTATACCAGTACAACACTCGCCAAACAGGGCGTACTAAAACAGACTCGAGTTATCGTCAGGCTGGAAGCATGCTTCCGACCCTACTTGTGCAGCTCAGAAGAATGGATCACCGCAACCTGCAACAAAGCCGAGCTAAGCATGATTTGCAGTGGCTGCAGAAGCTTGACATGCCTTGGGTGTAGCCCGTGCTAAATTTTACCATGGAAGTTCACCACACACTGCCACACACACACACACACTAGATTCGCGAGACGTCCTTTGGGGCAACAGCGCGCTGCCACATGGCTTCAGCACAGGAGCAGCCATTCGTGCGCAAGTACTTCACTGAAGCCCCAGTCGACGCGAATCTGCTTTCCTAACATCGGAATGAGTTCGACAAGCTGTGCGGGATGATCGCAAGTGTGTTCAGGCTTGAAGCATCATGGAAAGCAAGCGATCGAAACGAGCCCTACCAGAACCTCTCCTCACAACTCGTGCCAACTGTGAGCAGCATCAACTAGTTTGGCTGGTGCCCGAGCTGGGTATTGGTCAGCATCACTAGCTTCGTATCGTGCCTGGTACACTCGGCCCGTTGCGTCGCTTTCAACTGTCACAGATTCCGCTGCGTGCAGGCTACAAGGATCCTCAAGGACGGCGTTTATGCGCACCTTCAGCGGTAACAACCTTCGCGTCAACTCCTCATGCTAATACTATCCTTCTAACGAAAGAAGACTACTCTTTGTAGTCGCCTTTTCCGCGTTTTGCATTTCGAGAAACCCTGAGGGCACCGTTCTCCTTTGAGTGCTGGTGACTTCTGCCGCTGCAACCTCGCAGCCAAGCCGAGGTTGACTGCAGATATGTTCAAGCCGGGAGATCGTGACATAACAGAAGACATGCCACCAGCCACTTAAAGTCACATGAACAACAGTTTGTGCTTCGGCGGGTTGTTGGTTGTCGCCGACGGGAAGTCAGCAGAATGGTCGATGGATTAAGCAGCCAAGGCTCCAAGAGCTCTCGCCAAGGGCGCAGCAGTCTGCAAACAGCGTATAAATGGCGATGAGAAGATGGCATCGATGCAAATGCCGCTTCGCCTGACGAACCCAACAGCGGTGGCAGCCTTGAACGACTAGTGACTAACATTTTGAAATTTAAGTGCTGGTTCGGCAACGACGCACGAAAGCTACAGCAGGAGGATGCGCATATTGAGTCGACGAGCCTTAACATTGATGCCACGTGCTCAGCTTGCTGGAATCCAAACGTGGATAGCGATGGATCTGGGACCTCGTCCGGCCTCCGATCAAAGGATACTCATCGACAGCTCCACACTGACTCGAACACTGCCTGACGTCAGGCGCTGTCGATCATGTAGGTTCAAGCATGTCGTGAGAGCACCACAAGATGCCGCACGGTAACTCCAGCATACTGCCAGGATCTGAACTCTTCCTACCTATGTGCTACAGGGGTCTGAACACAGCACCCGCGAGAAGCTAATTATCACAAACGACTGCTGAGCGTTGTCAAAGCCCGTGTCTCCTCTGTCCATGCCGCAAGATCAGCAGTCGGCGCGCCATGGCCGCTGCGTGTCGCTGCTAGTAACCGCTAGTCACCGTCAGCCACTGGTAGCACCGACAGGTGAATCGTCAGAGGGCTTGGAACGTAAAAAATCGCTAGTTCCTTGGCAAGGTGATCTCAGTCAAGCCACAAAGCAAATGTGACGAGCAGCTCTTTGTGTGCATCATAGCGAGTCAAGAAATGTCACTTGGCATCTGGACTGGCCGCCTGCAGCGGGAGACGCCGTGGCATCAGGACCTGTTCTTGGCATGTTTGGTTCAGCCGATGATCCACCGCTTGAGTCCAACACATCAGCATCACGTGGACAACACTACTGTGCGTCCTGCACAACTTCTAGCAAATCCCATTTCAGCTTCGTTCTGCACCTGCTTTCGCTCGTGCTCAAGCAGAAGGGCCGCGTGGCGCTGATGAATCTGCGAGCGCTCACCAACATGGCCACGGACAAGGGCTTGCACCAACCGAGGCCGAGGCCTAAGCCTAAAGGGCCTACATACTGACTACGTGACTACATTGGCCATGGCACGGGCCTCTGGATCTGCCGAGACACGCCTGTTACGCATTGTGGGAGCCTGGGGGCCGCAAAGACGCGAGATGACACGAGAAGTCCCCAGAGTCAGAGTGACACTTGAGCTTCAGACTGCATGACCGGCTGGCCGAAGGAACAACCTCGGCATTCGAGCACTCCAGTCTTTTTTTGGGAGGCTGGGTTGGCAGGTTTCGGGCCCGATCTGGAGAATCAAAGTCGGAGCTGCGAGCTGCGCGCAAAGCACTTGGCTGGAAGGCATGCCCGATTCTTTGGAACTTCTTTCAAAAGTCTCAGCAACACAGAAAGATGGCCGACATCATGCACGAAGCAATCCACGAAGCCAACTCGTTGCCACTCCCCGCTTTTTCAGGAGGGTTGAGGTTGCCTTTGCGATTGGGGTTTCGAGGGATCTTGCCAAGGCTGCCAGCAGGTATGAGCTTTTTCTGGACACGTCCCCGACACGATGCCAAAGGGGGGGAAGTCCGTCACGCGTGATTCCGTTCAGGAATTGCGGTTTGACACTCATGGTGTCGCATCCGCATACGTGCATGGTGTAAAGAGACAGATACTTCGTCGAATCCAAGCCTGCCTCTCCAAACCTGCTGTCATACAAGACGCAATTCACTCTGAGTCAAACCCTTTACGGCCATCGTTCTGCCTGATAGGTCTGAAACTACTTTGTCCCAGATTCCATGTGTAAAGCAATGCTGACACTCACAGCCTCTCGACTCAGTTTGGCACTGCTGATGCCCGTGCGGACCGTGCGGGTGACGCTGAAGAGCTGGCCTCGGCAAGGACTTCTGTGCTTCCAACTCAGATTCGCAAAAACGAGCCGGGCCTGTTCGGATGCGGCCCAAGAGCTGCAACCTGGCCAGTGCAGATCAAGGCACAGATGATGCTAGCTTAGCGGAATCGATGCAAAGTCGGGAGAACAGAGAGCACGGGAGAGCACGTCTTCTTACGATACATCAGGAGTGCATCAAAACGTGCCAGGCAACGTAGTGTTGCTGAGGCTGCCCACCGAAGCGCACAGCTGCCATGTCGGCAACAGACCCGCCTTCTAGCGTGGTGTCTCTCCGGCTGCCCGCGCTTCAGAGCCAAGTTCCGTTCACGACATCAGAGCTTCAGAGCCGAGTGCTGGCATGTCTGGTCAGAGACTCGCATGCAGACCGTGGGCACATTTGCAGCGGGGCTTGCCCCTCCGGCATTTTCACCAGGCCAGTCTTTGATACCCGGGGAAGTGCTTCACTGGGTCCTTGAGCAGCGTGATGTCCTCGCACCGGAGAGCTAGCCATGAAACGCATTCGGAAGAGCCACTGCAGCACCCTCACCAAATCGTCAGCAGCGTTTACGAGTAGCAGCTAAAACCAAGCGTCTGCTGCATTGAAGATGCCTTAGATGGGGATGTCGTGATGAACACTGCAACTCCTATCATTGTCGAAAGTTGTGGCAGTCACTGACTCAGCTCCACCGCATTTTTTCAGGATGCATGTGTCACGAGGGCATTCCAGCTCTGCATCATCGCGAGAGTTGTGACACACATGCAATGACAACCCCCTAAATGTAAGGCTGTTCAAGAACTGGCACTGATCTGGGCGCACGCACTGAATTCCAGAAGCACGATCCTCAAGGTGAAGGGTGCGAATCGAAAACAAACACAACCGGCACCACGACTACCTCACACACACACAGCGCACAGCAAGCATGCGAGCAATGGACGCGCAGAGAACCCCAAACCTATAGGTTCAAGCCATCAAGCACAAATTTGATGAGCATGCTTCACCTACAGCTCTTCAATATCCAAAATCTTTCTCTACACCAGGGCACCACGTGCTGTCACCGCGGCTGCAGAGTACGCCTCGGCTCCAGTTGCGGCATATACCAAGCACTGCTCCTACACTCCCAAACATGCCAGCTACCATTGCTGACTGCAGCAAAAGCCTGCTTTGGTTCACATCTAGCGGTGTGTCTGCAGTAATGTCACCTTGCAAAGGAGGTAGCGCCACCTCTTCGGACAGTCCATCCGGGCCTGGAACGTCGCTGCACAAGATTTCAGCACGGTGCGCTAACCGACAGCAAAGGTGTTACACCACAACAAGTATATAGCCTGAATTTCACTAGCAAGGGCAAGGCTCCGTGCTCACCATCGTAGTGCCGGGAGGACGCGACGGAGCGTACTCCCAGGAATGTAAGCTGACGGCCTTCCACTCGCACTCGGCCTCCCAGGGCTTCTCAGGGCCCACAAGGGCCCCAAACAGGAGCCCGTAATGGTCGGGCTATGGCACATGATATAGCATCAATATAGCATCGGAGACCCCGACCTTCAATCTCAACCTCGTTGAAGCCGTGCTGGTTGGAGCCGTAATACTCCAATTTGAAGCGCAGGTCTTGGGAAATGCCAAGGGACATGTTGCCTTAGCAGTCTACGTCTAGGTTCACTGTACCCTGTCGACTCAACTCGGGAGCAGATTCCAATCCACATCCGCTTCGCGTGATACTCGCGAGCGGGGGCACGTGAGGTCGTAGAATATGCCAGACTCTCGTTGACGGACAGCGACTCTATGTCATTCGACCATGACATCGGCTGCCCAAGAGCCTTGCTACCGAGGATCCCATGCACTCCTGGCCCATGTCCTGCAGGTATTCCCGAACCACTCCAAACTCGACAATTGTGCAAGTCGCGGTGGAAGCGGATGGCAAGCCTGGGAGGTTGCTGTGTGGGTTGCAGGCCATAAATGCTGGCTTGTCGACGTGACAAAGATTTTGACATGTACTAAAGAGAGACCTCCCACCCAACTGCCTCCCCGCTTCACGAGCACAAGCAGCGCAGGGGCCCGGGCCCATTTTCCGCAACGCCTCCTCTTGAGACATCGGCTCGCAGAGCTCCTAGCCCAATCAGTTGGCGCCGGCAGTAAAGACTGAGACTCAGTGACTCAGCAAGTCTCAAACTTGCTCTACATGTCTTTCTCTGACCACGCTGCGTGCGCGCAGGTTTACCCGTGTGTGGCTTCGGTCCTGCCAGCCAGTACCGATGGCCACCTTGAGCATGCTGTGAGTGTGCTCCTTGGATGTCAAGGCGGCACTCCGAAGAAAGCGCACCTTTGCAGCGAAATTTGCCGAGATGCCATCATGTTGACGACAGCATCCTCCAGAAGCTTTGTCTTCTGCAGAGTCGCCTGCTGGGCGACAGGACTTCGGATGCACAGGTTAGCATCTCCCAGCCTCTGACTTCCCCTCCCGCTCATGCAGGAGCTGCAACTCCTCGCGCAGCTGCAGGTTCCTCAGCAGGCCGCGCCGCTCCATGCCGCTCCAGCGCGTACAGCTGCAATCACCGACCGAAATCCGTCGGAATCTTGGCAGGACTAAGCGACTACCTTCGTCCGCTTGCTTCAAGGCGCTGATTCTGCAATTCCTCCACATCCTCCTGTCACCATGGAAGTTGGCATGTGCATCGCTGGGAAACAGGGAAACATTGCGCCAGCTTGGCCAAGATCTGAGTGGGAATCCAACTGGGGTCAGGCTGTCGCACTTGGGTCACGGAACGCCAGAACACTCGAGCTGCACATTGTCAGTTGCATCAGTCATCAGAGGTGAAGTGAAGGATTGTCAGGGCAAAAGCTCTGAAGACTGAAGACCGCTCCGTACGGGTGATGCAATCCGTTTCGTCTCTCTGTGCTCTGGAGATCCGGGCAGCTGCTATCATTGCTTCTTCACGGATGCCCAAACTGTGAAACTGAGTTTTAGCTACATAATGTGCCAAGCTTGCAAGTGTGAGTTTCATGCGTCCACCTATCGGCTGGGATCTTTCTTCTACTGGTAGTCACTCTAGTCGTTGGCAGAGAGAGCAGTGGACTCCTGGGTTCGCTTCTGCAGCGCAGCCACGGACTCGCACTGTTCGCGCAGCTGGGCGAAGCCTCTTGCAAGGAAGACCCCGTGCCCACAAAGCTCTTGGTTGATGCCGAGTGACGGAGACTCGCTTCTTGCAGCTCCGCTTCGAGACGCAGCGCCTGAAAAGGCAGTATCCACCGTGTTTTCTTTCCGACGCAATCAGATGCGGCTGGTATCCGTTACAGGAACTATCAAGAGATTAAGGCTGTCGGATGAAACAGCACCTTCTCTTTGTACATCTCCAGCTCCGTCAAGCCACGCCTCGCTTGGACGAGTGGCTCGTCGAATCTTAGAAGCCGAAGACTTGCAAAGCTGCAAAGCCACTGCAAAGCCTCTCTGCCGCGGCCTGCTGGAGTCCAGCTCAAGCTCCTTCTGCGCGAGGGCGACCCCGACTTGCAGCGCCACATCCTGCCACCGAGAGCTCACGCCTTTCAGTGTGTTACATACCCGTGCCAAAGGGCCAGATTCTGAAACTGGAACTGCACGTTTGAGTTCGGAGGTGGTGAAAGAGTGATGTACCCCAGATATGCCCAGGTTCCTTCAAAATAGGGATGTGTGCGGCAACCTGTTCGACGGTAAACCTTG